TTGGGTTGCTTCTTGTCTTGGTTCTCTGTTTTTTAAGTTCGTTATATATTCTGGTAATTAAACCTCTATCAGATGTGTCGCTGGTGAAGATTTTCTCCCATTCTGTGGGTTTTCTGTTTGTTTCCTTGGTTGTCTCCTTTTTTTAAAAAAGTACTTTATTTATTTTATTCTATGTGAATGCATGTATTGGCTGCATGTAGGTAAGTGCACCTGTGTCGTGCAATGCCCGCGGAGGACAGAAAAAGCTATCAGATCCTGAGGACAGAAGAGGCTGTTAGATCCCCTGGAACTATGGACAATTGTTAGCTGCCATGTGAGCGCTGGGATTCGAACCTGGGTCTTCTATAAGAACAGCCAGTGTTCTTAACCGCTGTAGCCCCAGCTGTCCTGGAACTCACTATGTAGACCAGGCAGCCCTCGAACTCACAGAGATCCGCCTGCCTCTGCTTCCCAAGTGCTGGGACTACAGGCCTGCACCACCACACTTGGCTTGGTTTTGTTTTTTTTTTTAAGATACTTGCTATACATCTGTGGTTTGGGTCTACCTGGCCCCTCTTTTTCCTTGTGCTAACATAATCTCTGTTGATATCTCCATCCATGTTGGTCATGGGACTTGACTACCTTCTCCTTCGGGAAGCTATGAAATCAAGCTTGTTGATAAGCATTCAGATTTTATCAGGATAGTATGGAATACAAACTTTCTTGTAAGGAGTTGACTTTGCACTCTGGGGCTGTCAGGGTGTCATAATAAGGAGAGAACTAGGCTGTAAATGAAATGAAGTAGAGAAACCCTGACTTGCAGTTGTAACGAAGAGAGGAGGAAGGAGCCAGGAGAGACCTAGAGTCTGGCAACACTGCTTGCATCCAGACATGTTTTAGTTCCAAATATTACATACAGAGGCTTGTCACAAATTAATATTTATGTTGTTTTCAGGAATTTATTATAAATGGAGTTTCTTTTCCTCCTGCTTTTATTTATTTCTAATTTTTAAAAATTTATTTTTATGCTATGTGTGTTATGTGTAGGAGTGTTTTGCACACATGTATATAAGTGCATCTGTGCCCGTGCAATGCCTGAGAGGTCAGAAGAAGGTGGGTTGGATCCTGTGGAACTGGAGTTTAGGATGGTTGTTAGTCACTATGTGAGTCCTGGGAACCAAACCCGGGTTCTCCGCTAGACCAATCAGAGCTCTTAACCACTGAGCCATCTCTCCAGCCCCTCTTGTATTTCTCTTAACTGAGGGTGCTGGGGCTGGGGCTCAGGTTCATAGAACTGTGTTGCAGTAGGACACAACCTAATTTTTAACTACGTAGCAATCTTCTAACATCACTTTATTAAATTAACTGTTTTCCCATTGGATGTATTGTAATTAGATTTACTGTAATCTTTGCTACATTTCGCTGTATACTGTAGCAGTCCTGTTTTAAACTTCTTTGGGAAATTATACGTTGAAACCATTAATCTCTATTACAAACGTATTCTTTTTGTATTACTTTTATAATATCGTTACCCATTGCGCTCTTCCAAAGTTTTAACTTCTCTCCTCTCCTGCCAAGATTTGCTTGAACAAGTTTTTTGTTTGTTATTTTATATTTTATTTTTCTGCATAAATTTTAACCTCGCAAACGTCCAAAAGTCGGTCTCAAGGAATTCCGACCAGGAGACTATCAATTCGAGCTGCATAACCGTCTAGACTTCTAGCCAAAAAACCTACTATCTCAGTTATCTGTTACCTAAGAGGGAAGAGACTGGTGATCCGGAGGAGTGAGTTTTCCACCTCCCTCTGGCGGAGGCCGGTAGGTGGCGCAAAGGAGTGGCCAGGTGAGATCAACCCCAGAGGCACCTACCTGGCGGAGGCTGGCGTCCCAGCTTTGTCTCCTACCCCGACTCGGCTCCCCAACCCCCGCGCCAAGGGGCGGTTCCTGGCGTGGAGGCGGAGCCCGGGCGGGATGCTGTCACCTGACTCCGCGACCCGGGCGGGCGGCTTCCTTCCCCTGCGCCAGGCTGGCAGGCAAGGTCGAGAGGCTCCGGCCTACCGGCCACCGCCAATCACAGCGGAGCGCCATGGAGCAGCGGAGCAGCTTGGAGCCGCCGTCACCGCGCCGAGCCCGGGGGTCCCGGCTGCTGCTGGCGCTGCTGGTGCTGCTGGCGCAGGCACCCGGCATCCCGGCCAAGCCGAGTCCCCCGCTGTGGCCGATGCCGCAGTCGGTGAAGATGTCCCCCCAGCTGCTGCACATCGACGTCGAGACCTTCTACATCGACCACGGCCCCAATTCCACGGCGGGCCCCACCTGCTCGCTGTTGCAGGAGGCGTTTCGGCGGTGAGCAGCCTCACCCGGCTGGGAGGGACCCCGAGGGCTGGCGGCCGGGATGGTGGACCACCCCGGGGCGCTAGCGGACCTCCGCACCACCCGGTTTCACTGGGTTTCAGGATGACACAGCAAGTCTGAAGCCCAAACTTTGACGTCCGCCTGCTAACTCCTGAGCACCCTTGGGTGCGCAGGGACCCGGGTCTGGGTGCTGGATGAACATGTCATTGCTGGGAGGCCATCACCTAGTTGGCCTCAGAAGAGCAAAGGAGATGGACAGAGGAGACAGTTCTTTCCCCACTCCAGAGATAGGGAGGGACGTGACTCTCAAGTGAAGGGACTAACCGTTTGAGCACCAGAAGTATCCTCCAATGTTGACTGTCAGTCCTGTGCATCTCCATGCCCTGCATCCTTCCCAAATGTGGTAACAGTTCAGATGGCAAAAATCTTAATGCCTTAAAAAACTTTTTTTTCCTCTTTTTTTATATTTTATTTATTATTTTTATGTGTATGAGTGTATTGCCTGCATGTAGGTAAGTGCACCCCTGTCGTGCAATGCCCTCGGAAGACAGAAGAGGCCGCCGGATCCCCTGGAATTGGAGTTACGGACAGTTGTTAGCTGCCATGTGGGTACTGGAAATTCGAACTCGGGTCTTCTGCAAGAACAACCAGTGTTCTTAACCACTGAGCAATCTCTCCAGCCCTAAAAACTTTTATTTATGTCTTCCTGTATGTGCCCGCAGAGGCCAGGGGGTATTGGATCTCCTGGTTGTGAGCCACCATTTGGGTGCTGGGATCCAAACCCAGGTCTTCTGCAAAAACAGCTAAGCCATCTCCATACCTGGCAAAAGTGTTAAGCTGAACAGTGCAGAAAACCTGCCTCTTAAAGTCTCTTCTATAGACAAGGTTAGGCAGTGGAAGTGTTTTCAAATGGCTCTTAAGCAAAGTCTACTCTTCTGGTTTCTCTTCACTGGTCATGTGATTGCTCTGCCTGCTTCCTCTTTTCATAGATCCCTAAAACCCTTTTGAGTTATTCAGCACTTCACACTTCCACAGTCTGCTCAAGCTCCAGCTCTTTGGCCACAGAGTGAATAGCATTATAGGCTGGCAGTCCACCCGCAGCTGAGCACAGGGGCAGCTTGCAAAAAGAAAGCTGCTTGAATGTTCCACTTTCTGCTCCTGCAGAGTGAGGCCTTTTCCTGGGGAATGTCCTGGGGGACTGTAATACACTGCCTACTTTTACCCCAGGTCTCAGCTGTGTCTGTGTCTAGTGAATACAATTATAACTTAATATTGCCCACAGGACACCAAACAGCTGACCAGGAAATGCAGACTCAAGGATGGGTACTTTGGGCTCTGTGGGTGCCTAGGCTCCTGCTGAAGAGGTCTGAGATGTTGCTAACAGAAATGGCCCATTCTCTGCCACGGGAGAGCTAAGTGGATATAGCCATCCCATTTTGGAGACATGCTCTAATAAGTCTTTGGTATTGATTTGCTAGCAGGCTGGAATGCCATGACTCAGGTGGATGAAAATGTAGAACCAAAATGGCTGGTTCAGTTGGGGATATTCAGGGTTTTATGAAAGTTACCTGAAGGTCCTCTAAAAGTAGCTCATGAATAGGATTGGATATCTTTTAAAAACCTTCCTGCTTACCTTTGGGCTCAGATTTTAAAACTGGATTTTCCTTCTGCATGTGATATGAGTGTGGTAGGCATGGATGACTTGTTAATGGGTACATAACAAGGGCTTGACTCAGCTCTAGGATGGTTTGAAAACAGGCTTGGTATTTCTAAAGAAGTGCAGATATAATTATTACCTGAAGGGTTTGCCTAATTTCATGGCTTGTGTGGGAAGCAACTAGTAATAGCATCTGGCATTGTTAGGAAGCTGGTTGTAAAACATGGCTAAGCCTTGAAAGCATGCAGGCTGAGTGTTCTAGGAACTCAGGGGCAGTGGCTGTCTCATAGTAAGCTCATGGAGGGGATGGAAGGCTTTGGAGATGCAGGGTTGTTCAGAATCCCGTGTGGCTTCCATCTTTTAAAAAATATTTTATTACCATTTTTTATTTGATGTATATGAATATTTTGCCTACATGTGTGTAAGTGCACCATGTGTGTGCAACGCCCATAAATTCTGGGTCCTCTGGAAGAATATCAAGTGCTCTTAACTGCTGAACCATCTTTCCAGCTCTAACCTGGCTTCACTTTTGAAGAGTCCAATCTATGTTACAAACCCTGCTTTGAAGCACACTGCTTTTTGTGGGAAGAGTTTGGCCGTTGGGTGTGGGACTATTCCTTAATTTCTACAAATTACTGCATGGTAGGCACTCACATTTTAAATTAGTGGCTTCAATCCCTCAGTTCCTGAAAGGCTAGTGACACCCCACTAAGATCTCAGCTGGCTAGTGGCCCCAATTATCTTTTTCCTCAGTATTGGGGATCCAATATAGGGCCCTGTGTGGGTCTCTCCCTCCCCTCGTGGGCCATTGGCCACCTATCCATGAGAACAAAGGGAGCAGAAGTGACGAACGGGGTCAGGATGGCCAGTGAGCATGACGGAAAAGACCTTCCGGGAGTCATTTTCAGTGAGACAGCTCCGTTTATTCATTGGGGGTCAGGGAAAAATGTAGTGTGGGGGCAGCAGCCAAAGCTTCAGCTGATAGGTGCTCATAGTGTGCTTTATTTACAGTGGGGCTCAGGGAAAAATGTAGTGTGGGGGCAGCAGCCAAAGCTTCAGCTGATAGGTCTCATAGTATGCTTTATTTACATGTGGTAGGGGGATCCTATCATCTGGCTATAGGGCAATGCCTAATTATCATATAGAAAAAAATTGGGGGCAGTTTTATTGCAGGTCACTATGCCAAAGGTCATGTTCCAAATAAGGCCAGGCATCCATGCTTGGTGGCACTTTCCAGGTAAGTCAGGCAGAGAACAGGAGGCCCCTGCTAAGAAAGGAGTCGAACTTAACAGCAGGGTTCCCCAACAGCTTTGCACATGCTAGGCAAACTGTATCACTGAGCTACATTCTATGACTCCTTTAAATATAAAAACATTTAAAAAGCCAGGCCTCGTGGCATACGCCTGTAATCCCAGCTTAGGAGGCAGAGGCAGGCGGATCTCTGTGGGTTCAAGGCCAGCCTGGTCTACAAATCGAGTATCAGGCCAGTTGGGGCTATAGGGAGACCCTATCTCAAAAAAAAAAAAAACCATATTAATTTTTTTTTCTTTTGTGCGTATTAGTGTTTTGCCTGCATGTATGTCAGTGCACCTGTGCCGTGCAATGCCCACAGAGGTCAGAAAGTGTCAGATCCCCTGGAATTGGAGTTACCAATGGTTGTGTTTGTTAACTGCCATGTGGGTGCTGGGAATCAAACCTGGGTTCTCTGCAAGAACAACCAGTGCTCTTAATCACTGAGCCATTTCTCTAGCCCCCTAATTTAAAAAAAAAAAAAATCTTTGGTCTTTTTGAGACAGGGTCTCCCTGTAGCTCCAGCTGACTTGGAACTCCCTATGTTGACCAGGCTGGCCTTGAACTCACAGAGATCTGGCCTCCTCTGCCTCCCGAGTGCTGGGATTACAGGCATGTGCCACCACACCTGACCTTTATTTTATTTTATTTTTTTTAAAGCTCCTTTAAAGTTTCATTTTCTGGGGCTGGAAAGATGGCTCAGCAGTTAAGAACACTGGCTGCTCTTGTATAGGATCAGGGTTTGATTACCAGTATCCACATGGCAGCTAACAGCCGTCCTTAACTCCAGTTCCAGGGGGATCCGACAGCCTTCTCTGACCTCCATGGGCATTGCACGACACAGTGCACTTACACGCATGCAGGCAGTACACTCATACACATAAAAGAAAAATAATACCCAAACAATTTCATTTTCTATTCTTTCTCTGATATTTGGTTACCAACAAAAGATACATTTGAAAAGCTTTGGTGGCACCATGGGCTGGTGACCCTGTTTTAGGTTTATGTATCAGCTGGGTTATGCTGCTGAAGGAGAACAGGAACCTTGACTTGACCTGAATTTAGCAATAAGGAAACTTATTCCACACAGTAGACATCTAAAACAATAAGCAAGAATCTAGGGCTGGTTACTGAGGTGGACTGAATGACCAGGGCTCCCTGTTCTTCCTGTCTCTGTTCTGCCATCTTTGGCACAGCTGCAACAGATCTTCTGTCAAATCGAAACAGTTTTCTTTTTAACATATATGCCTGGTCATGGTCAAAACGAAGATAGATTACTGTGATGGGTTTGAGCACTTTTTGGGTGGGGGATTGAGACAAGTTCTCATCATATATCCCAGGCTGGCCTCCAACTTAGTATGAAGCCGAGGATAACTTTGGACTCCTGATCCTTCAGCCTCTGCTTCCCAAGTACTGGGATTACAAGCATGCATTGTGATGCCTGGCTTTGACACTTGGGAGTGTGTGGGAACTTTTAAAATGGATCTCATTCTCAGAAAGTCTGATCTGAAAATCTGGACATTAGAATTTTCAGAAAGTTCGCCAAATATTTCTAATGTAACACTTTCGTAAGAATCTCTGTTTGGACTGAATGGGTAGAATGGATTTGAGCATTGATGTATATGTCCACATATACATTTAAACGTGTTTAAATTTATTTCTCCCACAGATATTATGACTATATTTTTGGCTCCTACAAGAAGCGTTATGACATTGATGAATCTGAACTTGAACCACAGTTAGAGCAACTTCAGGTCTCAATTGCCCTTGAGTCACAGTGTGATTGTTTTCCCAATGAGTCTTCAGATGAGTCCTGTAAGTACTATTATGGAAATAATATGCATAGTCATTGTGGAAAATTTGTAAATACAGTCATACGTACAGAAGGAGGAACAAACTACTTATAATCCCAGCACTCAGACAGAATTAACCCCTGTTGTTTCAGGTGCACATATATGTTTTGCAGAAAATGTTTGCCATGTATATAAACATTTACATGAAAATGGGAAGAAGCTGAGTGTGGCACTTGGGAGGCTGAGGCAGGAGGATTGCAATGAATTTGGGAATAGCCCATGCTACAGTAAAACCTTGTCTCCAAAAGAAAAAGAAAGAAAGGGAATAATTCTGTAGTAATTTTGATTTATATATATGTATTTTAAAATTAATTGATTTTGACTCTACATGTATGAGTGTTTTGCCTGCATGTGTGTAAATGTACCTCAGGCCTGCGGAAGCCAGAAGAGGGAATTGGATCACCTGGAACTGGAGTTACAGAAGGTGGTAAACCACCATGTGGGTGCTGGGAACCGAACCTGGGCCTCTGCAAGAGCAGCCAGTGCTGTTAACCACTGAGCCATCTCTCCAACCCCGATTTTTATATTTTTGCTTCTTTTTGCATCCTTCATTGTAAATATTCAAGAACTTCATTAAATATTCTCTAGTGATCTACTGCTTCATGGTAGAATTAGCTTGACTAATCTCTTATTTTTTGAGGCTAGGTAATTTCTTTGCTTTTTTAAAATTTTTTAATTTTAATTTTTTTTTATGTGTTATGCCTGCATGTAGGTAAGTGCACCCATGTTGTGCAATGCCCGCAGAGGACAGAAGAGGCTGTTGGATCCCCTGGAACTGGAGTTATGGATGGTTGTTAGCTGCCTTGTGGGTGCTGGGATTTGAACCTGGGTCTTCTGCAAGAACAGTTAGTGTTCTCAACTGCTGAACCATCTCTCCAGCCCCTTCTTTACTTTTTTATAAGATTTATTTTGTGTGTGTCTGTGTGTCTGTGTCTGTGTCTGTGTGTGTACCTGTGTAGGTGCCCATGGAAGCCAGAGAGGGAGTAGGATAGTAGAATCTCCTGGAGCCAGAGTTTTAGGTGGTTGTGAGCCTCCTGACTTGGGTGCTGGGAACCGGACTTCTGGTCCTCTCAAAGAGCAGCTAGTATTCTTAACTGCTGAGCCCCTTAACTTTTGTCTTTGAAGATAAATTAGAGCTTCTTGCGCTTTCCATTGAGCTGCATCCCGAGCCTGGGGCATGCCTTCTCTGTAGGATGTGTGGCTGGCAATGGTAAGGAATTGTACCAAGGAATCAAAGAGGAACAGTGTAAAGGCCTGTAATATAAGATTAGGGCCAGAGAGAGACACCTGAGAATTGGGTGAAAAACAGGAAAAAAAAAAAAATCCACATATTTAGAAAAAAATGCTGACTCCTTTGTCCCTAGATTGCCTCCTCCACAGGTAGCTAAGTACAGGCCTTCCTCCACCTGGTACAGAGGAGACTTCTTAATATAGTCCTTGGGAAAATATTCAATTTCTTTTCATTTCTGTAGCTGTCTTTGGGAAAGAAAGGATAATTTACCAATACTTAACTATGTGATGTTGGTGGCTGCTCAGTACTCAGGTGCTATATAAAGTAGCTTTTGCAATTTCAGTTGAGATAGAAATGGCCATTATGTTGATAAGGAAACTTGGCTGTCTGTTATCATCATCAATATAGATTCTAGAAAACAGGATGTACTGAGACTGAAGAGCCACAGCTTATCTTCAAGTCAGCTTGTTCTGAGAAAGAAGCATCTTGAGAGAAATGTTTATGAAATTTTCCTGTTGAAGGATAAACTGAATTTAAAGTCTCTATCACTTGATGATAGTGATAAAAGTTAACATGTATGAATCGTATGGCCAGAATGTGAGGAAATATTGGAAGAAGAGTCAAGTATCAAAGGGCTGAGTGTACAGCTTAACATGCACAAAGGCCTTGGGTTTAGGCTTCAGCACCGTAACAACAAAACAGCCCAAACCCCCTGCATTAATGATGGGCAGGCCCCAAGAACTAGAAGTGAACCAGTTTCTCGTTTAGAGGTAGCTATCTACATCAAGGATATTTAGGGTGGTTTACCTGAACTAATGAAGTTATAAACAAAATGAACTAAATGTCCATTGATAAAGTTAACACACACTGAAGAGAACTATGTGGCAGATAGCCATGGAGAGCTTGCCAAAATAAACTGCTGAGTTGGACACAGGAAGCTGTATAACATATAAGGAAGGATACCATTTATGCATCAACACAAAGGAACTTGCACATAAAGCAGGATTATATTTTCTCATCGCACAATCATGTGTGTCAATACCCAGGAAAAGAACTAATAGCTATTTCATTTGAGGAAGGTAGAGAGAACTGGATGAACATCTCAAATAATATTTTAGTAATTTTTTTAGAGGAGACTATATTGATGTATTTGTATATATGACACCCAAAATAAAGGTGTTTATAGTATAAAAAGGTACAGAAAGGGATAGTTGAAAAGTCAGACACCAGCTGGGCATGGTGGCACATACCTTTAATCCCAGAGGCAGGTGGATCTCTGTGAGTTCAAGGCTAGCGTGGTCTACATGGTAAGTTCCAAGCTAGCTGGGGGTACAGGGGGATACTGTCTCAAAAAAACCAAAAAAAAAAAAGAAAAGTCAGACATCACCCCTCCCTATCCCCCAAAGAGACAATCACTATTAGTACCAATAATTTGTTTTTGAAAGTAAAATTCTTTAGCTGTGTGTCTGCATATATATTTAGCAATCAAGTCTTTTAATTGCTTTTTATGATTCAGTAAGTTGAGCCAGAATCCTTTTTGCTATCAGCCAGACCCTCAGCTATGGGAACACAATTGGCACCAAGTATACCCAGCATGTTCATGTTTTTAGGTGTGAGTTCCAGGCCAGCTGGGGCTACAGGGAAACCCTGCCTCAAAAAAAACAAAAAACAAACCAAAAAAAAAAAAAAAAAAAAAGCAGAGGCAGGCGGATCTCTATGAGTTCAAGGCCAGCCTCGTCTACAGAGTGAGTTCTAGACCAGCTGGTCTCCCTGTCAGAAACAATGTGGCGGGGGGAGGGGGAAAAGAGAGAGAGAGAGATTGAGATTTTGATGTGGATGGAATGGAGACATGCTTATTGCACTCACAGTAGCAATAAAGTTCTGAGCCTGGCATCTGGCTGACTCAGCACTGGTCTTCTGATAGGAAAGGCCCTTCTGTTAGAAGACTGTCAGAGTATCACATGACTGACACATCTTTTCCTTGCCTGCAGCCACCTGTCTTGTGACAGTCTGGATGTAATGGAAGGTGATGATCCAGTCCAGAGGCTACAGTATTAATCGTTACCCTTTAACCCTGCAGCACCATCTGTGTTCTCTCTGTGAGCCTACCCAGACTGCTCTAAGACCAAAATGATCATGGACTGTCCTTGGTAGAGTATAGGGCCCTCTTGGTTCAGAACAGCTAATTAGGACTGCATTTTTTTTTTTTTTTTTTA